AGGAAAAAAAAAATTTTTTAAAAAAAGGAGCTATCCTCAAACAAACAAACAAACAAACAAACAAACAAAAGAAAATACGTTAAGTGAAAGAAATCTGACACTAAGGTCACATAGTGTAACCTTCCAGTCATACAACATGCTCAGAACAGAACAGAGACAGAGTAACCCTAAGGGACTGCTTGGGTCTGGGGAGGATAAGAGGGACACAGAGTGATAGCTAAAGAATAGGGACTCTTTTTTAAATGATGAAAATGTCTCCCACTGTAGTGCTGTCTGCACATCTTGAGAAATATACTAAAACTATTGAATTGTATACTTGAAATCGGCAAATTGTTTATGTGACTTGTAATTCAACTTTTGAAAGTCATTCCAATTTTTTCTTCTTTTTTAAAGATTTACTTATTTATGCATACAGAACTGGGGTACAGGTCAGAGGAGCAGGGGCAGTGAGAGTATTCACCAGCGACAGAGTGGGGAGCAGAACAGGCTGACTGACAAGTACACTGCTTGAGGGGAGCAGGGGGCAGGTCAGGAGAAGTCTGCCAGGCTGTGAGGGTCACCCCATGGCCTGGTGATCTAACTCATTGGCTGTGGCTACCTTCATAGTGCTGAGCTTTAACCCTTTGTGCTACCAAGGAGGGCCTCATTCCAATTTTTTGATAAAATACACCCCTAGTTCATCTAACTTTCTCATTTTTCACTGGTGCCCTGTAGTTACACTGTAACTGGGTGGTCCTTAGGAGAAGGGAAGTTCCAGGTTCCCTGCCCCACCCAGAAGGAGGGTGGAGCTGAGCAGAGAAAAAAGGAGAAAGGAGAAGAGAGAAGAGAAGGAAGCCAGATGGAGAAAAAGACGGAGACCTAGGGAAGCCACATGGAGCAGCAAGCATGTGATGAAGAAACCGGGCTTGTTTCCTGACCCTGGACTGGTTAAGGCAGATGTGGGTGAGATACCTGTAGGGAGGTGACTATGGCAGTGTTATACTGATTTTGATTTTGCTCTTTTCCTCCCAGATTTGTCTGGCCATTTCTGACCCTTTTCCATGAGTCCCGGCCAGAAGGTGCTTTAGTCTTGTGGCAGGCTTTCAGGCCTTGCTTTGGGCCAATACCTTTTGGGTTGACTTTTGCCCACGAGGGGATGGGTAACTTCAGGTGTTTGATTTAGAAGTTATATTCTTTGTGTTCCATATTGTATATTCACTGTATTAAAGTCACTTTTCATTAAAGCTTTATATGTTTTGTCTTGTTGCGGCGGATGGCAGAACCCACTTAGAGCAGGCAGGTTTTGGGGCTTCAGGGGTGTCCCTCTCCCCCTGTCCTCTAACAGATTTTGTCCTATAACAACACTACAGAGCAAGCCTGGCATTTTTAGGGCTACCTGCCTGGGGAGAGGGAGTCTTGCAGGGTGAATAGGCCAGTTGAAAGGATCAAGTTGAATGACCCAGGCACAAAGTAACAATGTGGGTAGGGGACTGAAAAGGAATGAGAAGGAAGTACCTGGGCAATCCCCAGATCCACCCCTCCCCACCCTCTCCCGCCTCAAGCTGATCACCAGACTCAGAGATGTGGAGAAGCACAGACAATTGGATGAAGAGAAGCTGAAAACTTTTGTAGGAAACCTAGAATATGCTTCCAGTCTTGCTGCTGTTGAAATCACCTGGAGAGAGCACCAAAGGCCCTGGTGGGCATCTCACAGAGCTGTTGGCTAGAGACTTACAAACCATCCACCATCATCTCCCACTGCTGTTGCCTCCGTTACTGTCTGTTTCAGCATCCAGTGCTGTCCATCCCAACCTGACTATGGCTGTGGTCTGCTGCGTCATTATCTCACTACTGACTCTATGAACAACTCGGACTGCCACTATGAGTTGGAGCCTGGCCACAGCTTGTCAGCTGCCACGCCCTCCAAACCCTCTTTGGTAGGCCAACTTCATCTTGGATGAACAGCCTTTTCTTTAGGACTTCTGAGCATTGTGGGTGCTATCTGGGGTGAGAAAGCAGGCCACTTGTGGCCTTAGTAATTCTGTTTCCTTTTGTTAAATAAACCCCACTAATGTTGTTCCCTGAACCTGAATGGTCTTGCAAGTGTGTGTATGGATGAAGAACTCACAGTGACCTGTTCTTCACTGGGCATGTCCTTGTATAGTACCTAGATAGCTCTGCTTCAATTTTACAGGTTGGGGCACTGGAGCGCAGAGAAGTTACATTAAAGTCATTGTTATGTCAATTTCCCAGAGAAATCAGACAGCACTCAAGAGGTAGAGGGAGATATAATTGTCACACTGGCAGGCTCAGGGGGATCAGTACCAAAAGGCTGTGCCCCAAATTACAGGAGTGGTAAAATTTTAAACTGGTTGTGTGAGGAAATGTGTCATCCCACCCATCATAGCATAAGCATTCTTTATTGTTTGGAAAGGTGGTCAAGGTAGCCATAGCTCCTATTGTGGACAAGGAGTATACTATAGGAACTTTCTGCTCCAGCAAACAGCAGAATCCAAGTAACAGACTTCCCCAAGCAGCTGGTCTAGGAAAGTCGCAGAACATAAGCAGACTTGGGAAACTTCCTGCTTCAATTTGTCATCTAGAGCCTGGGTCTGCTGCCCATTAGCCATTAAGGCCTCACCCACACTCCATGGCTTCAAGTAGTTTAAGTCACTCTGGTAAGGAAATCAGTAAAGTCACATAAGCCATCTTGAATCTGCCATAGAACTCCAAGTTCAGACATAGAAAAATGGTGTGGTTTATTGAGGACACATTTGCTCTTGGCATTTGGTTTTATGGCTCAAAAAGCTGACACTCATGACCTGGCCAGTTTCTTACACTTTCATTACAGAGCCACATTTCATATTGATGGATACTGGGCTAAATAAAGTCCATCACCAAACCACAAAGTAGGAGCAGCATGTAGAACTGGACAGAAGGGCACCTGGGCTCAAATCCAACTTTTGTGTGTGCTGGAAGAAGTTATTTACTTTATTATACGAGTCTCATCAAATTATGAATAACATATATTCCCTGTGAGCACTGGTTATTACCTGGAAAGTGGTTGGAATACAAATGCTAATTTCTTCCTTCCCTCAGACTTTTAAAGTTATGCCAAGCAAGTGAGATCAACGGCCTTGAAGGAAAGCCAGGGTCACCATGGGGGCAGGGAACACATTCACCAGATAGTATGGAAGCAGAAAAGGCAAATTTATTGAATTACTATGGAGAGACAGAGGTGAGGTGAGAAAGCATTAGCCTGGACACTGAAATAAAAGTTTGGCTCTTTCTTATACCCTGAGTTTGTAGGCTATCTCTAAAGAGATTTAAGACATAGGTCTGTGGCAGCTGTTATCTACTAAATTATCAAGGCCACATTAGTTTCTGCATTCCTTTGAAATTTACATCAGCTTTTAATGGGCACAGGTGGGCTTTGTGGCACTGTTTCAATAACAATCTTTCAGTTCCTTTATCTGCCCAATGTCTCAGGGCCAGGTTTCCATGAAAACTTTTAGCTCCCTTAGTCTGTTTTTTTTTTTTGTAAGATTTATTTATTTATGCATACAAGAACTGGGGTACAGGTCAGAGTTGGGGAGGTTAGAGACTTCACTAGAGACAAAGTGGGGAGCAGAACAGGCAGATCTACTGAAATACAATGCTGAGGGAGCAGTGGGTGGGTCAGGAGAGGTCTGCCATTACTGTCACATGGGTCACCTCCCTGGCTGGGATCAAACTCCTGCTGCAGTAGCTGGGGAGAGCTTACAGTTCTGAGCTTTAACCCACTGTGCCACCAGGGAGGGCCCTCCCTTAGTCTGTTTAAAGCTTCCCCTTCTTGGCAGCTCTCCTGCCCACCTGTAACTATGCAGGTGCCTCTTTTTCTTTCTCCTTTTCCTAATAAACCTGTCCTTTTAAAATATAAAACAAGTAAATAAAAATAAAACTTCCCATCCTTGTCTGCTAAGCAAGGAGGAGACGAGCTTTTAACCCTTTAAATCTCATCAAGTTCCACTGGCGGGCTGCATTGCCACAAAAATAGCAGGTGAGTCTACCATTGCATAATTAAAACCAATTAATTTGTAACAATTATCTAATCAATAGCTAATCGTAACAATTATCTAATAACATCCATCCAGTGTTTCAAGACAAGAAATTCAAGAGTTACCTAAGTCTGGGTCGACTTACTCGCCTCTTCCCAGCCTCAGCCTACTAATCCTCTGCTCATGATAAGCAACTGGTTACGCCCCTCGCACTCTCCGCAGCCACCTGTCCACCGCTGCACTCAGTCAATCTACCCCTTCATTTCCAGCTAGTTATCTCCGCGATGTTTCCTTGCGTACAAATAAATTCCAGGCAGTGGTAGAATTACAAGGAAAACAACAGAGTCGGTGAAGATCAGAGGGGCCGCGATTTTAAATAAGGCGGTCAGGGAAACCTCAGTCTGGGTGACATCTGATCTGATCTCTGATCTGATCAGATCAGAGCGAGGCTACCTGGGAAAAAGCAGTTCAGATGGAGGTGCTGGCCACCGCTACCCAGGACAGAGAAAACAACTGTGCTAGAACGGAAGCAACCTTCAGCGGTGCCGGGAGTTACTTCAACCGAGGACACATCACCAGGACCAGCTCAGAACCCGGGCCCCAAGGTTCCGCACTGCCCACTTGAGGGGCCGCTTCTAATGTGGCCTGAAATCACACGAAGGCTACGCGCCGGTCTTCTCAGGGCACAGACGCCCGCCAGTTCCGGCGCCTCAGGTCCCGAGGCCGTGGTCCCGCCCCACAGGCATCGCCTCCTCCTCGAGTTCCCGGAACCCGAGACGTCCAAATCTCCGACGAGCGGAACCTGCGCCCTCGCCCCTCCCGCCTTCCCAGGCCCCGCCCCACAGCTCCGCCCCACGCCTCCAATTCCCTGGGCACCTCGAACCCGCTCCAATAGGCTCCCGCTTCCCGGAGCTGAGGCGGAGCCCTGGTTTCCCAATTGGTCGTGACCACGCCCCGTTGACCTCAGAGCCGCGCGACCCGGAAGTGATTCCGAAGTTCTGTCCGCGTGGATTCGCTCCCTGGAGGTGTGGCGTCGCGGCCGCTAAGATGACCAAAATAAAGGCCGACCCCGACGGACCCGAGGCTCAGGGGGAGGCTTGCGGCGGGGAGCGCACTTACCACGAACTGCTGGTGAACCTGAATCCCATCGCGCAGCCCCTGGCTTCTCGCCGCCTCACGCGGAAGCTCTACAAATGCATCAAGAAAGGTGCGGAGGGCGTCGCAGTGGCCGGTGGGCGCGCGGGTGGCACAAGCCTCCAGCCCCTCGCCCCCCACTGAGTCTCATGTCTTTGCAGCTGTGAAACAGAAGCAGATTCGGCGCGGGGTGAAGGAGGTTCAGAAATTTATCAACAAAGGCGAGAAAGGGTAAGAACCCCATCGCGCAGGATTTTGCATTTCTTGAAAGTAACGAAGGTAGGGCCTCCCTGGTGGCACAAGGGGTTAATAAGCGCAGCACTGCGAAGCTTCGGACAGCCGCTTCGGCAGGAGATCGAACCCGCGAGGTGACCCCCATGGCGCAGCAGACCTCTACTTCAGTCAATTCACTGGTTCTGCTACCCACTCTGTCTTTGGTGAACCCTCTTACTCCTCCCCTCCCCCTCTGGCCTACACCCCAGTTTTGTACGCTTAATAAATCTTTTTTTTTTTTTTAAATAATAACTTAGGAATTCCTACTACTTGCTAACTCAATAGAAGTGCTCTGACTCAGAGGAGTCAGTGTATAGGAGATGAATTCCCATCAGAATAGATGCTGGCCCAAGACTTACACGAGCTCAAAGGGACACCATGGGACAGTGGATTTCTGAGGGATGCGAATGTTACAAGCCGGCTTCCCTTGAGGGTAGACCCCAGCTGCATGCCTCAGCGACTGCTTATGGGTGTTTACTCCTTTTCAGGCACTGTGTTGTGGGGAGACAATGACATTAATCAAATAGTCACAAGTTGTGATTGATAGCATCTTTTCTGAGATTTATCAGAATCTGAAGTTTGTCTCATCCCCTTTATCTCCCGTTCAGGCCAGACAGTAAGTTCTTTTAGAACTGGTTGAAGACACTCACTCCATTCTCTGCAGAAGTGTCTGGTACACTGTAGGTGCTCGAAGGGAATGCTGGAAGGATCTGATGCTCAGTGAAGAGCCTCACTTAGTTGCTGGTAGCTGAGATCTTAAAATAATTGGGATTCATTTGGTGGCTAGATGATACTTTCTCATGGGGGCTTAGTCAGTCATGGTAAGTCTAGTTTTTATACTCAGCTTTGAAAGGCCATTGAAGGGTAAAAGCCTGGGAGTGACATTATTAAGAGTCTTCGGGCAATTTATGAAAGGATCAGGGGCATGCAAGTAGACTCAGGGAAGGTAAGATGGGAGCCTCTGTGGTCTAGAGAGGGCAAGGGCAATTTTGATTAACTTACAGTGGCAGATGTGGAATTAAAGTGCAGGCATCTGAGAGGACTTTTGGACATTGAGTGTGAAGAAATATGGATTTAACTGAGTAGACTAGAAAGCCCACTCACTGAGTGAACCGTGGGTAGCCAACTTGTATGAGAAGATCCTAAGTTTGGTTTCAGGCAAGTTTTTGAGGTGCCCCTCTCCTCAGGAGTACTGCTAATAGGCAGATGGCTATATGAGTTTGGAGCTTGGAAAAGAGAAGCCCAGGGCTGGAGAGGATAGTTTTGGGAGTTGGCCCACAGATGGTACCTGACACTGTGGCCATGGATTGGACCAGGAAGAAGATACAGAGAAGGCCGTCAAGTACTATGGGGAACACCAGCATTTAAAAGCTACTTAAAGAGGCAAAAGGAAAACGAGAAAGGGGAAGCAGTGCTTTGAATCAAGAGCTCTTATATTGCCTGTCACACACCACAGTGCTCACTCCCACAACAAACTTTGCCTTCTGTGGTTTCAAGACTCTTGAGACCTTTACCTTTGACACCTTCCAGTTAGGACCCCTAACTAAGGAATCTCTGTCAGACCTTCAGTGGTGCCCTGTCCCTCCTGCCACTGAGCTCTGTTCCTTAACCTGACACTCAAGGCCCTTGGGTGTGGTCCCTCTTTGGTCATATTGTCTTCCTCAGGTCACATTCTGTATTCCGAGGCCACCCAGACTCCCAACTGGCCTGCCCATGTGTCTGCTGCCATTCTGATTACCTCAGCCTTCATTGCCCTCAGCCCCTCCATAGACATTAGTCACCACTTAATTTTTTGTTCAGGTGTTAACTTACCTTCTGATTCTCCAAAAACTTAAGCTTATTGCTTGGTATCCCTCCACTAATTCTTTCTCAGCACAATAACCACTTGACACCCTTGGTAGCATTTACTTATTACCAAGACATAGAGATCACCTTCCCAGAGGAAGGTACTCACCAAACACACATTTGTAAAACTTTTAGAGGTTGGGAGAACCACATTAATAGTTAAGTTTCTTGGCCCTCCCTCATGGTACAACAGGTTAGGACACAGAACTGCAAGCTAGCTGCAGCAGCTTCAATGCGAGTTCCGTCCCTGGCCCTGACCTGCTGCCCACTGCTCCCCTCAGCAGTATACTTCATCGATCTGCCGGCTCTGCTCCCCACTTTGTCTCACCGCCCCTGCACCTCTGGACTATACCCCAGTTCTGTATGCATAAATAAACATTTTTCTAAAAAAATAGTTCAGCTTCTTGATAGTAGGAGGTCATCTTACCCATCTCTAACCCCCCAGGCCCAGCCCAGTGACATACTTAACCGAAAGGGGGAATGAACAGACCAGAAAAGTTAGTGGGTTTTCTCATTTCAGGATCATGGTTTTGGCAGGAGACACATTGCCAGTGGAGGTATACTGCCATCTCCCAGTCATGTGTGAAGACCGCAATTTGCCCTACGTCTACATACCCTCCAAGACGGTAAGGAGCACAGGAGCCCCAGTCTTGCTCAGCACTAGAGGGTCTGCAGTAGCAGGCCATGGAGGAGTGCAGCATGTGTGAGCTTTGGAGTTGAGACAGGCCCATTGCTCCCTGGCCAGACTTTGGATTCACTTCAGATGCCAGACCTTTATGCACTTTGGTTTCCTTTTTGTAAACTGGGAATCCATTCTTCTGAGAATGAAAAACACCTATGTAGATAACACTTGTCAACTCTGATGCTGTACCTTTGTTAATTCTTGTGGGTGGGTGTGGTTATCGCAGGGGGTCATAGGGCTTATAGCTGTTCTTTTTTATCTTTATTTATCAGGAGCCAGACCTGGGGCTCAGGGTATAGGGGGTGGCAGGAACCAGGAAAGCACAAGCCCTGCCCAAGGGGGTACCCCCACTAGACTGGAGACCTCACTCAGCTGCCATTTGGGAATGAAGGCCCAGTGTTGCTGAATTATAGCTGGAAAATTGTCTGCATTTAAATGACAACCAATTGTAAATGTAGTGATCAAATAGCACCTGATTGTGGGCTGTATTTAGGCCAGCGGGTTAATGGTTTGGAACTCCCCAGCATGTAGGTTGTGCAGTAGTTTTTCCAAATAGCCCTTCTTTGCTCTTCTCTGCAGGACCTGGGGGCAGCAGCAGGCTCCAAACGCCCCACCTGTGTGATAATGGTCAAGCCCCATGAGGAGTACCAGGAGGCCTATGATGAGTGCCTGGAGGAGGTGCAGGCTCTGCCCCCACCCATGTGAAGGACTTGGGCACCTGCTCCGGAAGCTGTTGGGAAACCAGCCTGCTGTCCTGCTACCCACACTCGCAGCATCTCCCCCGTCCCGAGGCACATATTCTTCCCAGGCAGCTATTTCATGAAGGAAAAGCAGTATCTTCTCCAGAGCTGTTTGCCTGTGAGCTTCAATGAAGACAGTTCCAACAATGTGGTGTGGGGGAAGTAAATGCTAAGACTAAAATGTGGTGAGGCTGTGGGTGTTTTCTTAAGCAGCAGCTGGTAGTGGGGCTGAGATGGTGGGCAAGAACAAGGGGAAGCAGCCTTTCTTATCAGAGATCACCAAGGACTTTACAAGTGTTCGCTCCTATGCCAGGCTGCCCAGAGTGGGTGTTAGACTCAAGCCAGGAATGGATTCTGGGCTGCCCACCCCCAAGCTTTTGACTCCCACTTCCAGAATCAGTGGGTGCTGCAGGATAAGGTGGCCAAGCCTAGATTCTGCACAGAAGCCTGCAGCCCCTATGTTGGGACACCCCCATTCATCATTTTGCTCCCTGGGAGCCATAAATGCCACTGGGAAGCTTATGGAAGCAATTTACCCACCTACACAGTACATTTTAAATAGGAACCTGAAGCTGAGTACAAAACTCCAGGCCATCTCTCCTGCGTGGTATCACGGGCCCTGATAGCCCAATCCTTTCAGACATTTTAGACTTTCACAAAGGGCCTTCCAGCTTTTCGGACACCCCCTTCTCCCCCCAAACTTAGTGCACACAGCAAACAAGCTTAGGCACCCTGGAGAAAAAAACTAGACAGAGCTTGGGCTTGAGGCTCAGATCTAGTTTAAACACCAAGCTCTCCTTTACAAAGTCTGATGCTTGACTGTACAAGTCTTTTCATTTTCCTTAACCCCCTGTACTGATTTCAGATGAGTATTTATGAATGTGTAAAAGCACCTTGCACAGGGCTCCACATCTTACAGGGTTTTCTCCCTGTCAGATGCAGGGTGGATTCTTTCTGACCGGGTACCATGGCTTATTGCTGATTCTGTTCTCACCAGCAGCAGTCTGTGTGCAGTGGGCACATGCATAGAAATTCTTTGCCAGTGAAGCTAAAGACAGGTGAATGAATATATTTGCTCCAAGTTAGAAAACCATGGCATTCAATTCTAGCATAGAATATTTACAGTAGGGAGCAGATACGTACAGTGGTAAGGCTGTACAGCAGGAGGTGGACACGATGCTGGCATGGCAGTGAGACCTGGCTGAGGCAGGGATGGGAAGACATCTGCTGCTGGTGGCAAGTCCTTGCTTCTGTGTTGGTCAGTACTAACAGCAAATATGAGTGGAGACAGCAGGAGAAGAGAAGCCAGCTTCTTAAAACCAGGGAGCTGTCTCCTCCTGGGCTTCTGCCATGGCAGCACTCCTCAAGTCAGCTGCTCTGAAATAAATACAGTCCACTGAAACCAGCCATCCTCACCGAGACAATTCGAGGTGAAAACTCACAACCAAGTTCCTTTCAAGCTGGAATCAGAAGATGAGGCGTTTGCCATCTGCCGGGTTCTGCTCCATAGGGCAGTAGGGACACTTCAGCCTGCAAAGGGGAGAAAATCAGGTCTCAGCACTGGGCAGCAGGACAGCCAAGCCAGGAGGGAGCCAAGCATGGGGAACTTACTTTCCTCCGTTAATGAGCTTGTTGAGTGCATCTCTTGAGATCACATGGCCACAAATGAGTTTGATGGGAGGGTTGGAATCAGATGTCTGCTGGCGGAGGATGGGGCACGCAAAGACCGAGTGGTACCAGCATTTCATGCCAAGTTCTATCTCGATCTGGGGAGGTGGGGAGAGGGGTGAATTCCCATTCCTGTCTTTTGCCCACCCCTGCCCCAGCTGAGGCTCACCGGCAATTCATCCTTGTGACTCCACACCCCCGTGCACTGTCTCTGCTCTATCACTGCTTTGATGTTCATCAGCACTGGCAGCGCCACACAGCCAGAGGCAAAGCTGCAGTAATAAAAAGAGCAAGGGCTAGAGTGGTCCTTTGGCTGTCTAGACCAAAACACAGACAAAAGAACCAACATTCTGAGTCTTGTGACTCAGGGCTGGGTTCTGAAGTGTGTAGGATTCAACTCAAACTTTGAAAAAAATTCAGGTAGCTTATAAAGTGCCACATGTAGTTAGGTGTGTCCAACTCAAGGCACCCCAAATTTGAGAACCCACGGGAAAGAAAAGGAAGATCCAGAGGGCCGATACCCTCTTATCTAAACCACTGAAAAAATGGGCAGTGATCAATTTGAAGCAGCTCTGGCCTGCCTGTCTATCCCACCCTGTTGTCATAATGCAGCACTCTACCTGGGCATCAATTACTGCAATTAGAAACTGGGGAATTCAGACCTCATGATTAGGATAGGGATGGGGTGCTAGGTTGTGCCTGTATGAGAGAACTGTGCAAAGATGTGATGGTGCCTGTGAGTCTACCATTCTGGGATAAGGCAAAAGATTCCACAGTCAGTAGAAATAAAACAGACTGATGCTATGATTGTGGTGTTTGTGGCTCTGTGTTCAGTTATCTTTTGCAGCCCTAGACAAGGTTATTCACGTCTCTACTTGTTTATAAAATGAGGCTAACACAGTGACTCCCCAGGGTTACAGTGAAGCCATGAGGAGAATATTACTGGAACAGAGCCTGCCAAGTGGCAGTTCTTGAGGCCCTGACCCATGTCCCTGCAGGGAAGTGGTACTGGAGATGAGGTGGCAAGAAGGCCAAGCTGCAGGAGGGTCTTGTGATAAATCAGGGGTGAACTACAGGGGAGGCAGAGACCTCATTCAAGAGACCTTACAAAACAAGAACTTTGACCCTGTCACTGACCTCATGGTGACCTCAGGCCACAACTCTTCCTAATCTCTTGTTTCTCCAACATAAGTAATTTTTATTTGGAAGAATGATTTACTCCAGTTTAGGTCTGTGAAAGCACCAACACCATCTCTGACACATAGGCAGGGCCTCAGTGAATCATGCTTTTCTCTAAACCCTCCCATTTATGCCCCCACCTCCCAGCTGGCTGTACCTGACACTGAGGGGTGACTCCACAGAAAGCCCCAGCAGGGAACAAGCATCCCTGGTAAAGGTCTCACAGATCTCTGCCCAATGGCTATTATCCAGGAGGTGGCAGTAGGGCGATTTCTCCAAGCCCAGCCGCAGGTACACCAGGCTGCCCATCATCACCTGGATCTCTGCAAGACAACAGGACCAGGCTTAGGGGCCTTCCCCCAGTCTGGCAACTGCAGGGCAGCCAGAGTGGCTCCCAGATGCTTAAGACCTAATGACCTTAGGCAAAACTGGTTTTCCAGAGACTTGAATACAAAGGTGGAGTTAGTGGCTGCAGTGAAGCTGTGCTTAACCCCTTGCGTTACAAGGGATGCCCCAATGATGCTTACTTCAAATGAACTGTGAAGAAATATGAGTGGTGTGCTCTCCCTGGTGGCACGAGGGAGTAAAGTGCAGCACTATGAAGCTATGAGCAGTCACTGCAGCATGAGTTTGATCTACAGTCAGGCAGGTGACCCACATGATGTGGCAGACCTCTCCTGATGCGCCTGCTCCTTGTCTCCCCTCAGCAGTGTATTTCAGTCAATCTGCCTATTCTAATCCCCACTGTCTCTAGTGAATCCTCTCATCCCCATGCATCTCTGGCCTGCATTCCAGTTCCTGTATGCATTAATAAGTATATATATTTAAAAAAAAAAAAAAGAAATATGAGTGGAGTTAAAGTCACTAGACTATTTTAGCTGCAGTGATGGTTATGAGTGGTGACCATCTGGCAGGTAAAACTCCCAAGATGGGTCTGAAAATCCTAGTGTAAATGAAGAGAACTCTGAGGGAACTCCAAGGTGTGGGGTGCTGAGTGTGGGTGTGGCATATGGCAGGTGTTGGACAGACCGAAGTCTGAGATGAAAATGGGAGAAGGGAAGAGGCAACCAAACCCTAAGTCTGGAGCTCCCTTTGGAGACAATGAAGGAGGGCCAGAGAGTTGGGGACAGGCACAGGTAATGTGCAGTCTGAATATCCCACCCATGCTGACCTGTGCTGGAACCTGAGCACCTACCCCGCTGGTGCAGCCGAGCAAAGGGCTGGAAGTGCCGGGCATAGCTAAGGGCTTCCAGTTGCTTCTCGGGGCCACCTGCCAGAAGGCGGATGAAGTATAGTCGGTGCAGCTTGAACTCCAGGGAGCTGTTGAGCTCCAGCAGGCGCTGCCTGTGGGAGACGGCCCATCTGGGGAGAAAGGGCCAGTTTAATGTGAAGCTGGAAGAACAGAACTGAGAGGTGGGCTCCAGAAGCCTCTGGGAGGTCCAGCAGACAAGGCTGTAGCCTGGAAGACAGCTGGACGTGTGTCACATACATTGGGTGAGGTGAAGACAAACACAGTGCCTTGAACAGCAAAGGCAGCGGTGATTCTATGGGGCAGAGCGGGACCAACTTACTCCAGTGCTGGCCCCAGGTCTTGTTCGTGTAGAGCTTCCAGGATTCGATTCAGCTCCAGGAAAGGTTGCTTGAAATCCAAGTCCACATTCAGCGTGGACTCCTGTGGGAAGAGGCCAACCCCATCATTGGAGGACTGTTTATAAAATTCTCTGCTCTGCACATAATAAAAATCTCATTTGCCAACTATAGGCTAGGGGCAGGGGTTTGCACTCGGAGGAGCTGTGGTTTCGTTGTTCCCATTTTAGTTCTGGGAAGCTGACTGCTACCTGCTGGCCTCCCAAAGGCAGACCACAACCCAGCCCTACCTGCAAAGAATGATCCCCATGGAGGAGCAAGTGAGAAAGCTGCTCCTTTTCAATCCCCTCTATTACATAAAGAAAAAGGAGATTTACTTTTACTGCTAGGAAGTTTTAAAATACCTAACAAGCGTCATTTCACGAATCTTCCTTTTTAAGAAAAGCGAGCAGGTCTCAACTCAGAACACTGGCTGACTAGAAATGAAGTAACTCTAGCTAGAAGTCAATGACTTCACTTTTTATGGTATATACTTTTAAAGATACTTTTTATTTATAGAAGTAGGATTGACTTCCTCTCTAAAATATATGTGAAAAATAGCAGGGCTGGAAGGCTCAGGGCCTTGTAGGCTGAGGAGCCAATAGGCTGAGTCAGGCCCTAGGGTTGCAGTTCTTAGAGCTGTTCAATCGAACATGAAGGAGGAACTGTTTCCAAGCTCATCAACCAGACAGCAGCATAACCGGTCAGTGAAGCAGCAGCCCTGATGATATGAGGGAGGAGGGTGGCCTTGGCCCCATGCTCAGCTTCATGGGCATATGCAAAGATGGGGACAAACTGACCCTCAGGATGGGAATAGTAGCCAAGTAGCAGAAGATGTGAGGCACTAACAAAGTGATATGTGGAGGCCTGGGATCTGCAAAGAATGTAACCAGATGGCAAGTTCTCCACTAAGGTTTATGCACAAAAAGAAACAACGCTTTCTGCAGCAGGGATGAGTCGATAGGACTCTTTGACCTTCAACACTTGTCTCCTGGGACTTCTAGAACAGTGATTTATTATTCCCTGTTTTCCCACCTTCTCATTTGCTCTAGCTTCCTGTCCTCGTTCCTGTTGTCTTCTTGCCTCCTTCCCCTCCCCCCCCAGCCATCATTTCTGACTTAAGACCATCAAATGTAAGTAGGGTTATACCTGAAGCCTATACAGTATTATAAACCATTTTTAAAAAGATTTATTTATTTATGCATACAAAAACTGAGGTACAGGCCAGAGATGTGGGGGGGTGGGGTGAGAGGATTCACCAGAGACAGAGCGGGGAGCAGAACAGGCGGATCTACTGAAATACACTGCTGAGGGGAGCAGAGGGCAGGACAGGAGAGGTCTGCTGTACTATGTGGGTCAGCTCCCTGACTGGGGGATTGAACTCGTGCTGCAGTGGCTGCAGATAGCTTCATAGTGCTGTGCTTAACTCCTTGTGTCATCAGGGAGGCCCTAATAAGCCATTCTTACTTCAATAACATTTAAAAAATAAGGGCTAACAGGAACATAAAATAAAGAAAATGATTTGGAAAGCAGAGTGGGCAGATCCCTACCTCCAGCACCCCTTACCTGGCACAACTCCTCAGCGACGCTGAGCATTCCCTGCTGGTACAGGTGCTCCACGATGGCCATCTGCAGGATCTGCTGCTGCTTCTCCCGAGAATCCCATACCGCATCGGAGACCACACCACAAATCTCAGAGTCAAAGTTCTGATGAGGATGAGAGGCAGGGTGCTGTAACTCAGCGCTTATGTTTCCAGCAGCTTTCCGGAAGGCCCTGTACAAGGTTAACTGCAGGGGAGCCCACTGTCAGTCTGGGGGTGCCCACACACTCACCCTGTCGATGGCTTTGCCCACTCGGGAGACACTGCTGTGAATGTCCTTGTGGTCCGATGCCAGTTTCTGCACAGTGTCTTTGATCTTCCGGCAGCACTGAGACATCACCAAGGAGAGGGTGGCTGAGAGAGGTGTCCCCTGGAGGGCTGCAGAAGAACACTGGCAATGAATCAGGCACAGAAAACAGACCTGGTCTCTGTTTCCTCATGCTAAATGCCAGCCGGAGGCCTGAGGAGCATCCCTGAGCTCTGGAGTGAAAGACTCAAGTTTCTGTTCCAGGTCCTGCTACATTTTAACTGTATAACTTGGAAAAAGTCAAGTGGGACAAGCTGGTTCATTTCCTGGTCTTTATTTTCTCACCTGTATATTGGAAGTGATAGCACTGGCCTGGCAGGTTATTGTGAAATGAAGATGACTTGGCACTTACCATGGGTTAAGTATTTTATTTTGGCCCATTTAATATTCACCACCATATTACACAGGGATATTGCAGGTATCCCCTCCTTTAGCTGAGAAAGCTGAGAATGCAACTTGCCAGATCCCCTAGAAGTAACCAGTGTAAGCCCATGGTCCCCCAACACAACAGAATGGGCACATTCATAGAGAAAAAGCAGATTAGTGGTTCTTTATTATAACTGAATGCCAACTAACAAACGATATTTATTAGGAAGGATAGAACAGAAAAAAAATAATCACCCATGTTGCAACCAGTTTTATAATAATTGATTCACACAAGAAATCATTAGTCGAAGCTAAAACCAGTGGGCTGAAGTTTTATAAAGGGTAGAACATTTATGTTTCAAAGTATCCCCCCACAAATCAGTTATTTTTTTTTTTTTAAGATTTATTTATTTGTGTATACAGAACTGGGGTACAGGCCAGAG